CTTAAAGCAGCAACAACGCTACACATAAAAACTGATGATGGTGGAAAAATACACCGAAACGTATTTTGATTGATAAATAGAGACAATAAATGACTTTTTTGCAGACAAAAATGCATGCCAAGGCTTAAAGCAACAACAACGCTACACATAAAAACTGATGATGGTGGAAAAATACACCGAAACGTATTTGGATTGATAAATAGAGACAATAAATGACTGAAACCCAGGAATGAATTTGATTTGGAATTGAAACACAGTCAGGAAAGTATATAAAATTAATCGATAATAGCAAACATGCAACTTTGGACTTTTAAGCGTTTTCCGTTTTCCACCCACGTGCCGAGCATTGTTAAACCGCCAAAAATACACTTCCTAGTAACACCGATTTTATTGTCATCAACGTTATTTGCCACTCTAAAAATATATGCTGCCAGAACGAGAGGTAACCCGTGTATTTTAAAAGCACGTTTCCGGAAAATACGTGATCCTCAGACGGAACTTTAACCGCCGGCGAACTACGGAGTGATCCAAATTTGGCCGTATTCCTGCGAAATGACTTTTCGCTGTAGAACGAGGCAAAACGCAAAACATTCATATAATTAAATAGGTACTTAGCTGGAACTAAACAGATTTATTGTTGTAGGGATTTTTGCAAAACACACTGGTAAGTCGACGCAGCTTCATGATTTTGTGTTCTTTCATGTGATGCCTTTGAGTGCTGTGTGTGTGGCTTGAAATTCTAACAGTGAAAACAATAGTATGTTTCGACACAAGGCCGAAAAACGGATTTTCGCTCTCGTATCGAACATTTTTTATTCGAATGAAAACCTTAACACGATCACATCAACTTCATATTGTAAATTTGATGTCAATGCCATTTTTGAAATAGTCACGATTTGACGTTTGTCATTTTTCAAAAGCGTACAATACAAGTGACGCAATGGGTAGTTGACAATTCAAGTGCTACTTTCACGGTTCAAATAAGTTGCCTGACATTTGCGCTATTTAAAAAGATCGGGCGTGTGCGTGTGGCAACATCGGCGAGCGCAGAAAAATAGGCCATTAGAACGACTTTGAGCCTGAACTTGTAACAAAGTTATAATGTACAAATTGTGAGTAACCTTTAAATTATGATCAATAGTTGTCGATAAACCTACGTAATTCATTAAAAAGCTGGTGCTTTTGCGCACCTGTGCGTAAAAGTAATCATCGCTTCCGATCGAAAAATGGCACTTAAATTTATTCGAATAAAAGCTACTATTGTGTGGTGCCTACTGAATGAGGTTTATGCCTAATCTCCATGTGACGGGCCCAATGCCATTATTTCTATCACGTTTTCCTTTATTGCACGTCGCGTTGGGCGAAGCTGCTTGTTGCTCCATCCACCTCATTGGTCTACATGAATGAAACTTGAATGAAACATAAAGTTTCAGGGCGAATTTCGAAATTCCGAAATCTTCTTGAAGCCTCAATTAGTACAAACATTTTTTACTACTAAACCGGATACGTGCCTTATTAATTGAATTAATTAGGTTTTGAATTTCCCATTTATTTTCTGAAGTATCGCCTGACGTTCAGATGTCAAACTGTTGTTGACTTTTTTTGACAGTTTGGCAACATTGTCGAGAAGGCGATTTCACGATTTGCCAGAGGTTGACCAATTAAAGCTGTTTCCTTAATTGCTCTCATCTTGGTGATTAGCAAAGCCGAGTGAACTCCTTTTCCAGAAAGCCAATTTGTGTCCTTTAATTTGAAGTGTAAAATTCCATTTGTTTCAAATATTTGAAAGCTTCGTCAATGGTCCGAAAGCCGCTGAGCAATATTTGCACGATACTTGTTGGCACAGGGCACATTTTCCAGCTTTCCTAGCCATAGCTCAACATGCACGAGAATGATGTACAAATGAGCGTTCTTGCTCATTTTGCCTCCGAGATATGAGCAAAAACGGGACGGAAAACATGGAATTTTGGCATAATCTTGCAC